GGAGAGAGAGTAAAGGTGTCAGTCGGGAAAGCGATATATTAAATGAGCGTATAGAGCACCGAGAAATGATGGAATGAACGAAATGGATGAATGAAGTTTGCAAAAAATTTATCGCATAAATCAATTAACGCCTCAAGATCTGATGAAGGCAATATCATACGAATAATAACACGTTCTCACTAGTTCTATCCTATCATATCATGATATATCTTGTATAACTGTAAAGTGTACAACCTATATATCCTTTCATAAAACTGCACATGAAGTGTATTACTTAGTTTTATCAAGGTACTTGTGTGTTAAAATGTAGTACAACAAGTTATTACTCTGTGGAAGTCATTGCATTATAAGGTAAACATTTTTTCAAATGTTAATCTCGTTACTACTATTAAACAAAAAAGTAAATTTAATGGAGGTATGAATCATTTAAAACATGATATTGGAGGCAATTTCACTGATAACAGCATTCGGAGTTAGTTTTAGTTTAAAAACCAAGACAGTTGTATCGGCAAAGTAGGTGCTACAACGACAAAACAACGACAACAACAACATCAAAAACAACAGAAACAACATCATCACAACAACCAAGCTACAACAACGTTAATTTACATCGTCACACAACAAACAAACAAACAAGAGATTTCTTTCTCACTTAGCACGCACATTATTTAACAACTATCCAAACAACATCAACAACAACAACAACAGCAACAACAACAACAGTAACAACAACAATAACAAACTCTTTTAATAACAATCTTAATAACAAACAATAAAAATAGAAAAACCAAAAAACCACACAAATCAAAATCAAAATACTAACAACCCTGTAGAAGTTACAAGAAAATGTAAATAACAATAATTATTATTATTATTATTTTTAAGTTAGTAATGATAGCGTAATAAGAATAGTGACAAGTTGTTATGTCGACACCTGCTGGGACACCTGTATTGACTGAGAGCGGTTGCTCAATCAAAATTCTTCATTCATTCGTTCGTTCGTTCATTCATTCATTCATTCATTCATTCATTCATTCATTCATTCATTCATTCATTCATTCATTCATTCATTCATTCATTCATTCATTCATTCATTCATTCATTCATTCATTCATTCATTCATTCATTCATTCATTCATTCATTCATTCATTCATTCATTCATTCATTCATTTAGTCATTCATTTATCTATTCATTCATTCACTAATTCATTCATACATTCATTTATTCAATCATTTATTCATTCATTCAATTGTTCGTTCGTTCGCTTGTTCACATCTTCGTTCGTAACATCACTCGATCGACAATTGTTTCCATTCATTCAATTATGTTTCCCAATATATATTTAAACATCATTTATGTATCAAATAAAACCCTTAGTTTCTCATTCAATTACATGCTTTTAGAACGCAATGAATACATTTATGTCAGATGGAATTACCATTGCATTTAAAATCCTTGTTTCTCGGATTTCATTTTTGGTGGAGATTGAGATGGTTGTGAAGATTTGAACATTTAATAAATGAAACCAAACTAAACTACAACAAAAAAGAAATCATTAATTAACTTGATGACTGACTGGTGTGCAGAGAGCTTCTTTGCACTAAAAGTCAGTCAAACTGCAAACAACAAATCCATCAACAACAACATCAACAACAACATCAACAATAACATCAGCAGCAACAACAACAGCATCAATAGCAACAACCTCATCAACAATAACATCGACAACTCCAACAACCTCAACAACAATAACAACAGCAATCCATCCAATTAAATTGTAGTTTATTTCAGTTTTTTGATTAAAATCTTAGAGAATTTTAAAAAAAACTTAACGTACAAACATCGCGTTTTACTCTTTTTTGCTTTATCTTCTGTAAATTATTTTGTTCTTTCTATCATTTGTTCATTCGATCAATCAATCGTCCAAATATTTCAACAGCAGTTTGCATAATTTTTATCAACTTTTGTAAAAGTTTTTAATTGCTATTTCTCATATACGCACACACACACACGCACACATACATACACACAAACACACGTACACACACATGTACACATACATACACGCGAACGCACACGGACACAGGTACACGCACACAAACACACACAGTTAGATACACACGCACATACAACAATGCTCACGCATTTTTGTGTGTCTATTCGCGCCACACAAGGCAGAAATATGTTGAAATGGAGATAAAAAAATGTATAGGTAAGCAGATGGGAGGAGAGAACCATGGAAGGCATGCATGCAAAAATATGATGCCAGCCAGAGAGTGAGCGAGTGAGTGATTGAATGATAAATGATGTTTCCAATGAAAGACGAAAAAATAGTAATAAAAAATAAGCATTGGTGCGAGGGTAAAAAAAATAAAAATCAAATGCAGATATGTAAGTAGGAATAAACGAGCAAACACAAAAGAAATGGAGAAATTGAGAAATGAGGAAATGGCGAGATGAGAATTTCTTCGATTTGACACACTCCTTCTCGTATCATGTGTCATTCAAATGTGCCCGCGCACATTAAAGCACACGCTAAATAACCGTCTCTGTCTTTCTGACGCACAAGTACATACATACGCGCACACACATACACACGCACACCTTTTTATATCTTCCTCTCTCTCTCTCTCTCTCTCTCTCCCTCTTTCTCTCTTTCTTTCTCTACTTCCCTCTCTCTCATTATCATTCTAATTTTTTTGGATTTCTCACTTGTACGCTAACCCACACCACACGCCGAAACACACTCACACGTACACACTCTTGCGCGCACACACACACAACCTCATATACACGACAACATATCTCAAACTTTCATAAATGCGATACACAAAAAGAGACCTGAACTAACACACACACACACACGCAACGCACGCACAAACTCACGCACACACACATGTATATATATATATATATATATATATAATTACATATACACATACAACACACGTAATCAACGCATATCTTGCTTTGTTTGATATGTTATATTAACACACGAACACACACACACATATACTTATACATATATCTGGTATATATATATATATATATATATATATATAGAAATTGTGCGTATAGTTAGATACAAGTGTGTATTCATATATCATTTATTTGGTTTAATTGTTTCACTTGGATAGAATTTTAGTTCAACACAGTTACGATAAAATAAAAATATTTGAAACTAAAAAAAACTACATATTTAGAAGCTTAGACGCACATATAGACAAATACAGACAAACCTACACACAAATACAGACACAGACACACACAAACATGCGCATACATGTATTTTTTATTCATGCTTGTTCATAGAATGACATATAGACAAACCAGAATAATATATGTATATATATATACGTGCGTGTTGAAGCATGATAAACTACTTAATAAGAGGAAACGTATCATTTACAAGTTCTAATATCTTTCGTCAACCTATCTTCATTCATTCGTTTTATTTTGTTATCTTTCTATCTGTAAAACCATCTTTCAAGCATGTAATCCAATTTTCACCCAATCTATCCATCCATCCATCCGTCCATCCATTTATTCTATTTTTTCTTTATTTCTCTATCTCTTGCAAAAATTTTTTGGATTTATACCTAATTTTGGCGAGTTAATACTTTTTTTCATTCTTTTCTTAAAATCGATCTATCATTTTCTCGGCACAATCAATCAATCTGTTTATTCCTTCAATACAGTGATCCATCTATCAGTAGAAATATCAGTTTATCTATCCATTCATCCACCAATCCACCATTTCATCCGATCAATCAAACAATCAATCCATTCATCCATTCATCAATCAATCCATATCATAAAAATTGTGTGCAGTGTATTGGTGTGTTGTGTGTGTCGAGTGCGTGTAGTGCTCTCGGTTTGTGTTTGAATGTTAAAATAATTTAGAGCATAATATTCTTTGTGATTCAAGTAGAGACTATTGTCATGAGATATCTTATTCTATTTTAATTACATTGGTAGTTTTAGTTTATATAACGGGTATAGTTTAAAATGAATTCAATACAATGTTACTTTTTATTTTATTATTTGCAATTGTTGGATAGTCATCCAATAGAACTGTCACTTCATAATTTTCACTAATCGGCATTGAACATTCCTTATCATTTTACTAAATGTAAAAAGAAAACGCGCCAATCTTTAAGTTCACTTTTAGATTGTTTGTTGGCAGACGAAAACTTTGGTCAAATTTTTAAAAATTAAAGTTTATAAGATCAAAGAAGAAATGGCTGAGGTTAGATTAAAATACAGTTTTAATTGTTGATTAATAATCTTCACGTTTACTTTCATTTTCATTGTGTGTAAAATGAAATAAATTAGTTCATTAATCATTATTTTTCAGTCCAACTTATTAACTCCTACTTCAACTCTTCCCGGTCCGTGTTCAGACTCTGGAAAAAAAGATCTCGAGTTGAATTTCGGTGGTTCATGTTCCGACATACTTGTAACTCCGGAAAAAATGTGAATTTTAAAAATTTTAAAAAACTAATAAGTCTTTTTTTGTTTGCTTTATTTTACCTTTTTGGTTGTCCACAGACGAAAAGTCACTTTCAAAGAAACTCCAACCTTTCTGAGAAGTGCTGAAAATAATCATTCTAACGAGGTCGAATGTTTTGATTTGTATTTAAATTTGTATTAACTAATTTCTAATAAGTTAATTAGAGTTTAATTCAATTTGCAGAAACCTAAAGTTGCAAAACCAGACAAAACCAATCAAGAAAGTTTGTTACTGCACAATGACTAATATTTAACTAATCCATTTTAATTTAAAAAAAAATTTAATTATACATTTTATTTAAAAGAATTTTATACTGGAAATTTTTCTCATTGTACTTCGCACATTTGTTTTAAATGTTATATAACGTGAATACTTCCAGATTAACATACCATAGTTCAATTCCAAAACTAAAAATACATTTTTTAATAATTTTCAATTAAATGTAAAAAAAATTATTCAATTTTCTACAAGCTTCTGTTAAACCTATGGCACAACCTCTGGATAATCCTATGGTGTCACCTAAAGAAATTGCTAAAGAAAAGGCAGAAATAAGTAGAAGTGATCTGCTGAGGAAACAGTGTAATGTTTTTAAAATATATTCAAACTTCATATATTTATAATTAAATTTTTATTAAATTTGTTGTATCAATTCATACAGTTAAAGCACTTGCTGAAGATCTGATTAATAAAGTTTCTGAATTCATTTCGTTAGTAATCATAAAATCAGTCTCCAGTGAGATTCATTGTAATTGTAATTAATTTTTAATAAAAATTGTAGGGAGGTAGAAACGAAAGAATTGAAAGATAGGATGGTTACATTGAAGCGGATGGAAAACAACATCCAAGCACTCCGTGATCAGTTGTTGAGGGAAAAAAGTCAGTTCAACAGTTGTATTGAGAAACTCAGATCAACTCTTCGTTAAAGGACGAACTTTCGTTATTTCCAAAATTGATTTGCGTTGATGAACGTTTCTAATTTGTTTCTGACGTTAACTCGAAACTGAAACTTTAAAATGGACCTATTCTTATGTTAAAAAATTGTAATCATAAAATTGTTATGCTTTCTTCGTAGTTAAATCATAAACTGCATAATGAAAAATGTAACGAGTGACTTTAGTTGAAAAATTTATTACAAAATCATAGATTTCTTAATTTTACCAATTCTAACAACCTAACCTACGAAGCATTCTTTTACTTATACTTTCATACTTTTTGTCCTGTTCTTATTCTGACCTTGCACATAGGGCGTCGCTGAAGCAGCTCTGCGAATCGACGCTATATTATGTAAACATTTAAAATATGCAGAAGTGAAAAAATAGCAGTGTATTATTTCCATTTGGTTTCCCGTAGTAAATCCGTTTCTCGTGTTAAAAAGTTGAAAAATTGTACAATTCGTCATCTGTATGTCGTTTATCATCAATCCAAAGGTGTCTGTCTACCAATGATTGTTTACCTTTACTGTTAAGTTTGCAATAGGTGTGCTACCTTTAATAACTTTTTTGTTTTTTTTTATTGGTATTTCTAATATGTAGTTAATTTATGTTTTTTCCATCACCACAGATTTATTTAAATTAAATGTTTAACTAATATTGTTATTGTTGTTGGCACGTTTTTTGCAGTTTTCCTTTTTTTATTCCGAAAAAACGAAAAATATTATTGTAACGTCATTCCGGTTATGACTGTGACTGACTGATTTCAAAAATTTGATAATCGCGTAAATTTAGTAGATGTTAATTACAATTAGAATACATCAATAACAGTCTTCAAAATATATCAACCTGGTTTATCAAAAATAAATTAATAGTAAATTATTCTAAATGTAATTACATTATTTTTGGTCCGAAAATTTTAACAAATATTATACCTAACCTAGACATAAAAATGAACAATATTTCTATTCCTCGCTCAACCAGCACAAAATTCCTTGGAGTAACAATCAAGGACAATCTTTCTTGGGATATTTACATAGATACTGTCTAAAAGAATATGCAAAACCCTAGGAGTTATAAGCAAAATTAAAAATAAATTAAATAAACCTACTCTAATTGACCTGTATTATTCGTTAATCTTTCCTCACCTCATCTACTGCAACGTAATTTGGGGAAACAGTCCTGACATTCATCTAAAACAGTTAACAAAATGCCAAAACCGATTCATCAGAATATTTAAAAATCTTCATCCTCATTGTCACACAAGTGAATATTATCTCGAGATGAAAATACTCAACATCAAAAACTTGTTCATCTACCACGTTGCAACATTCATTTTTAGATTTCTACGTCAGCAATTGCCGGCATTTTTTAGAAACTTTTTCACTTTTGGAACTTCCATTCAAGCAAGAACTACCCGCCACACGCCACTTTTCTATGCTCCACCAGCCAGAATTAAAGTACTCTGCATGAGTTTGAAACATACCGGCCCAGGAATATGGGAGACGATTCCACAAGAAATTAAAGATTGTAACACTTTGCATCTTTTTAAAAATAAACTGAAAAATTTTTTAATTACGAAAAGTTCTGTTTTTCAAGGATAATAATGTATATGTATATATATGTATATAAGTGTGTACATATTTCATTAACATTGATACATTTTCTCCTATTGACAATTTTATTTTATCATTGAGAAGCAATTTTGAGCTGCACGGTGGCCGAGCCCACAAGAATTAATTTTCTTTTTTTGGTCTCCGAATCATTCATGCTTTTGTTTTGTTTGATTGAATAAAAGTGATTTGATTTGATTTGAATTAGGTATATATAACACAATATTGAAATATTTTTACAAAGGCTTCCAATAAGGATTTGTAAATGTTCATGAACAATAAGATCATATTGAAACTTTGTTTGCTATTAAATAATAATACTTGTATTTTAGTACAGCATTTCAAAGTTTATGCTATTTCAATAAAAACCCATCTTTCAGATCGTCGTCGTCTTCGACAGTAAACACAGAAGAACCTGTATAATAACCACAACCACTTACTTCTACTACAACAGCCACGCCACAACAGCATACACTTTTACCACCATTATTACAACATTTATTGTGGTTACTACAGTCGCCACTACCACTGCAACCAATGCTATTGCTACTACTATTACTACAACGCTTAAAGTATTCTACTACTTCACGCACGACTGATCCAGTATATAGGCTACCATTGGCTGAACTTTTGAACTTTTTGACCTGGCCTTTGGATAAAAAATAAAATAATTTAAATTAAAAAAGAATTGAAAAAATTTATAAAAGTATAAAAAACAATGACTTAATCATGCTGATTTAACAATTTAAAAACTGTTACCACAGAACTCACGAACCGGTTTTGATGTGTCCTTTAGCGTACTGGATGGCAGTGCGTGCCGTCACTCCCGATCCAGTGGGAGCCCTGTCCACCTGGCAATCAAAATCCGGATTTATAAATTTGTAGTGGGAGCGTGAATATTTTCAATAAATGAAACTTTTAGTGTTATTTCTTGATTGACGTTATTCAGAATCGCACTTAGCTTTGACTGGAAACATGTTGAACGTCAAAATTATAGAGAAAATTACACTCGGCTTTTATAAAGCTTATAATGGAAAAAATACGACAGGGAAATGTCAGTATCAGATTCGTTGATAATAAATCAGGAATAATTATTATTTTTATAAATGAGTATTTATATTCTCTTTACCTCTCTGTCAGCAAATATGGTCAAGTTAGTTGTGGTATCGTTGGTTTCAAAATCATCATTTCCGTCAGTAACAATGGTTCCATACAAGTAGGCCAGGTCAGGACTGTCCGGATGCCAGAGTTTCACCTTTGACCTCACCGCGTCTGCAATTTAACAAAACATTTTAATATTAGATAGTTTTTAATGTTGTCTATTTGGTGTTGAAGATCTTAGCGTTACGATAACTAGGTCTGCAGTCAATTTATTTTGCTGATGTTATAATATAATTGCTGCCACCGCTATCTGAAAATTTGTAACAATTTACTAGATACAGCTGTTGCCCGTTCTACAATCTGATCGGTTGTCGAAGTTGAGAGGTCAATGCCAATATCTCTGTCCTTGACAACGGCGTAGAAGGCTCCTCCGTATCCAATGTCAACTGACGGTTTGTATTGAGTGCCCGGAATTTCAAGAGTCAAATCTGATGAATGAATTTTTTTTATTGAATAATTCGGATTATTCGTCGGCGCAAAACACATGTGCAATCAAATCAATTTGAAATTTACTATTTCATTGTTTGAAATCGGCATTTTGCGATTCATTTGCATCACATTTCCGTACAACAAAACGACATGCAAGACCAGAAAATAAAAATATCCGACATTTGTAATGTGCACTCTCGTTATCATCCATTTCTCCTATTTTTAAGTGGCACAAAACATGACCCATGCACGTGCAGACCTGATGTGTGGAGGAACGCAGGCACACTGTGGAACCTCACCGAGCCTGTTTTACCGTTTTTGACTTGCACCCACACACTCACCAGACCACAAGGACATTGGATGTTCACTTTCGTTTCTGGTTCTTCAATTCTTCCAGCGGGGATGAGTTTGTTGTCAACGACGTATCGGCCAAGTGCGATGATTGCATGTCCACACATTGTGCTAGATGTACAAAAATTTAATGAGTTTCTGAAGTGGAGAGATGGTATGAGTGTCATTAATTTGACAAAATCAATATCAAAACAATAATAATTTTGGCAAAGATAATGTAATTGATTTTATTTCTACTGTTTTCTCATAGTATTTCAAAATTTTAACATATAAATTTTCAACTTTTGGCAACACAACAACTGACTTCTCAGACATTAGACTCATTAGAGGATCTATTGAACTGACCTGTAACCTTCATTGTGCATGAATAGGACCGCCAGATCAGCGTCTGGGTGATCCGGTTCTACAAGCAAAGCTCCGTACATGTCCTTGTGCCCTCTGGGTTCGAACATGACCAACTTACGAAGATGGTCCATGTGCTCTTTCATGTGGCGACGCTTGTCCAGAAGTGTCCTGGCAGATTTCGGCGGAGCAGGCCATCCTGATTCGATGACGCGCAGAGGTTCGCCACCGCTGTGCATTTCTCTCGTCTTTATGACAATCTCGCTATTTACTTCGCTGAACTTTGTCGTTGAAGACATTTTTTGATCCTGTTTAATTTTGACTTTCACTGGGAGTTGTTAGTTATTCGGGAATGTTTGTATTGAACGGATGTTGGCTGATTGCGAAGATTTGAAATTGAGATAACTTAATAAGGAGCGTTTAATTGAGTTATATGCAGGACAAAATAAACTTATATTTATGTTATATTATATTAAAATACATTTATATTTTAATTCTACGAGACAACGTCGCACAGTATGGTTGATAAATGCATTTCTATATGTTGGCTATGTTGGCTAATGATTGAAATATCTTGTTTAGGATCAAATTCCATCATTTATAACAAAATTTTGCACAGTAATACAAAAAGTGAATAAATTTAAATAATATTGTGAAATAATCAAACTAATGTCGTATTAAGAATGTTCAAATGTTTTCGTATCTAATAATATTACTTTATAGCATTTATTGAAAGGTTGAAAAAAATCGATTTGGTGTCTATAATCACTTTTCATCTAAAAGGTAGATGGTTTTCGGTTTTTCCCCATTTAGCGAAAATTTAAAATATACATAACGGCAATTCAATTAAAATTTAATTATTAAATTATCATCTTATCAGAACTGTTATTATCTTTTCAAGTTTTAAATTGCAGGTCCGTGTTAATTGTTAATAAGTTAATACCAATAAATGTACTTCCAAACTTCTTTTAATTAATTATTTACAAAAAACACAAACTGGTTAACAAAGCAAAGACAAAATTTTTGTGTTTTATAGTTTATTTGCTTATTATTGTCAAGATATTTGTTATTTATTAGGTTTTAATCAAAATTGTTATTATTTTGATAATGCAATAGTTTAGTAATTATAATTTATAATATTATAATTATATGTTTTAATTTTAATTCAAATAATATGTTATAATTTTTTTGAGAGTTAAGTAAGAATTAAGATTTATAAATTAATAATTACATTACATCAGCAGTTAAAAGTTAATCATTATTATTAAACTAAACTTAAACACAATTTAATTAATTAAAAATAGCTTTATGTATTGTATAGTAGTCAATAAAAATGATAAATACTTAATTTATTGTATTACAATGATTTAGAGTTGATAGACTAATAACACTTTGGATGGTATAATAATAAACATCTATATAATTATTTATATATTTTATGTAGAAATAATTTCTTTTTGGACAGACATTTATTTCAAACTTCAAAATCAAAAAACCAAAATCAACTAACTTAACTAACACTTACTAGCAGTAGTAGAATGAATGAGGAAGACAGGAGGAAAATAAACAGCAACCGAGTCTATCTGCTGAGGAACTTGGATGTCAGCATAGTACTGCTGGCTTGTTTGAGGTCATGCAAAGTTCTCTTACAAGATCACGAAGATCAAATCAATGTTCGTCAATCAGACTTGTACAGTTATTGATAGTCTAATGCTATACAATCTTTTTTTGTTATTATGTCAATATTTATTTGTTTTAATTATTTTGAGAAGTATTTTTTATTATGTCAATATTTATTTGTTTTAATTATTTTGAAAAGTATTTTTTTGGATTAATTGTTTTACATCTATTAAAATTTGTTACCTCTTCTGCCTCTAGCTCTTACCGACAAATGCTAAAAGATGTGCCTTCCTCGTGGATCTCATACCAAAAAGGGGTCCAGAGGCTTTTCAGCATTTCATGGATGCTCTTGAAGAATCAGGTCAAGGTCATATAAGAAATCAGCTGATTGAGGGAGGTTATCAGGCAGATAGGAATGCTAGTTTAATTCGGCTGAAAGTTGATGTGAGAAAAGTATAACAAATTTATGATGCTTTAATCTTTCATTGTTTTCAATTGGTGTGATTTGTGAACTTTATTGATATATTTTAGTTCATTTGTTTAATGTTCAATTATTTTTATTTGATTAGTTGAATAACTTTGTTAAAATTACATTGAACGTTGTTTATCTATTGCTCCTTGACAGTTCTAAAAGTGTTGACTCTACTTTTATGTTTCGAATATTCGTCGGCTTATAATTTAATTGTAGAGTTTTATTAAACTGTTTTTAACACATTTGATGTTGTCGTATGTGCAGGATTCAAATTTATCAATTCATTTCACACCAATCTCATTTTTGTTAAGACTCACAATTCATATTTGACTATAGTTCGTTCTGGTTGATTGATTAATTGGTTGATTGACTGGTTGGTTGATTGACTGGTTGATTGATTGAGATTTGTTGGTTGATTGATTGATATTTAAAGTGTTGTTTCTCTGATCGTGTTATTTGTTATATTTAATCATTGCAAATAGATGTTTTCATAGATTTCAAATTCGATTTAACGCGTTACTTCCAAATAAAATAATTTCACTAGAGCAGGGGTGGGCAAACTTTTTGCTGTGAGGGCCGCGTTGAGAACTATTTGACCTTTGAAGGGCCGCATGTGTATTTAAATATCAAAACAAAAACGAACCCGTAACATGAAAGAGAAAAATAAAATTCGAATTTAAGATACCAACCTATGATTAATCAATTTTTTTCTAAACTTTTATTTAATTTTAGCCAAGGCTCACCTATATGCATGCATGTATGTATGTATGCATTTACGTATGTATTTGTATGTTTGTGTGTGTGTGTGTGTTGTACGTTGTATGTTATATTTGCACGTGCATATGTACAGATGCTAAAGTAACCTATGTTTGAGAGTATATGCGCTTAAAAATACAACCAAGAAAAAAAATAGAGAATTGCATTTTTAAGAAAACAGACAAGTGAAGAAGAAGAAGCACTTATTTGAACGGCATTTAATGAGAAGCCCCCTCGCCACGTCAAAGCAGCCGTTCATGAGGAGATAATAATAAAAAGATAAAAGATCTTCATCAGAAAGCGTAGCGTTGTATGCACCTCAAACTGCTTAGTTACAGTAGTGCTCAAAAAATTGTGAACACTCACATATTTCATGGGAAACATGAATAAATTTGCTTGTGAATCGAACAGATTAAAATGTTTAGGTAGCAATCTTTCATCCTTAATTAGAACTATTATTCCTAACATAAATTATGAAGGTTTTGTAAAGTTTAAGGTTTTAATATAGGAGAAAAAAGAATATGAACCAGAGAACCGAAAATTAGCTAAAAATCTGGTAAATTGGAAGTTGTGAATTGAGCTTCAGTAATTCATCTTACTTACTATTTTATTGTCGTCTGGTAGCTATAAATACTCTATGGTTGTCTAGGTAACGCGTGGAAAAGAAATATTTGCAAAAGCTAGTTTAATTTTGCTTATTTGTTTTTTAGTTTTTTAATTTTAGGAAATTAATTGATTTTTTGCTATAAGTCATGCCTAAACGTGCTAGAAAAGATCTATCAGATGATTTAAAGCAGTCAATAATAAGAAGTGTTGTGAATGGATTGACTTACCGTCAAATATCACACTATTTTGGTGTTTCTGTTGGATCTGTTGCATCTATTGTTAAGGCAAGATTGTCTTCATTTCTAAGTTGTGATAGTGGTTTCATAGAATTGTTTAATTAAATCTTGATATTTACTAGTCATTTTAGTTCATGTATGTATTCTCTTACAGAAACATACTGAAACAGGATCGGTTTCTTCAAGGAGGAAGAATTGTGGTCGAGTTTGTAAAGTTTCACCCCGCATGCTCCGAAGCATTGAGATTGCTGTACGTCGGTCACCGACAAAATCTAGCAAAAAGCTACAACAAGAATTGAGGCACAGTGGTTTAGATGTTGGAACAAGTACCATCAGAAGATATCTAAAAAAGATGGGACTTGTTTCAAGGGTTGCACCACCTAAGCCACTTCTTACACTTCGACATAGGAAACTGTGACTAAGCTTTGCAAGGAAGTACATAAGCAAAGACGAAGAATTTTGGCGAAAAGTCCTCTTTACTGATGAAACTCGCATCTCAATTTGTAATGATGCAAATAAAGTTCGCTTTCGCAGAAAAACTGGAGAGAAACTGAACATATTTACTCCAACTGTGAAGCATCCTGCATCAGTTATGCTGTGGGGAGCATTTGCGGCTTCGGGAGTTGGCCGAATCAGGTTTCTTGAAAAGGGAGAGGTATGCAACAGTGCATGGTATATTAAAGTTTTAAACCAGCAGGTGAAATGGTCTACAAGAACCCTCTTTCCAGGAACAGATTTCTGGCTGCAAGATGATGGTGCTCCTTGCCATAGGTCAAAACTAGAGAGACTTTGTCATGGCCAATGGATGGAAAACTTTAGATTGGCCTCCTCAATCTCCAGATCTTAATCCCATAGAAAACTTATGGTACCTGCTCAAAAGAAAGGTTTGGACCAAGAACTTCAGCAATGCAACTGAACTAAGGGAAAAAATTATTTCTGTATGGAATTATGGTTTGGAAAATGAACTACTTGAGAAGCTGGTACTTTCAATGCCTTCTCGTCTCCTTGCAGTCATCAAAGCTCGAGGTGGCTCAACCAAATTTTAGAAGAGAACAGAACTTATTTTTAAGCTCTTTTGAAACATAATAAACCTTCTTAACTATTTAGAAAAATTTTATACAATATTAACAAAAAAAGAGTTAGTTATAACATAAATTTGTTCAGTTTAATAAGCGTTCACAATTTTTTGAGCAATACTGTATATAAATAATCCTATCTACCTACTTATTAAATTATCAAACTTATGAGATTTTAGAATATGTAACCGTCGTGTGTATGTTAGCGCCTAACAGGTTTACCTATTTTACACTGAACAGTTGAACCACTTACATTGTTCCTATCATTAAATTATTGCACCTAACTACCTATTGTATTGAATTACTCTCTTCAGCCTTAGTAAATAATAAATTTAAATAATGCGTTATGAAAATAAAATTACGCTAAACTATTGTAAAGAATGCATGTATTTACATATGCATGTGTGTTGTGTGTGAAACGCATGTGTGTGTGTGTGTTTGTGTTGCAAGTGCGAGAAAGTATAGATATGCATGTGTGTTGTGTGTGAAACGCATGTGTGTGTGTGTGTGTTTGTGTTGCAAGTGCGAGAAAGTATAGAAGAAAGAAAGGGATAAAAATTTATGCTGCCTGCCTTTTTAACTACATTAATGTTGTATGCTTTCTACCTATTCCTACCTACAAATAAAATTACCCTTATCTAACTTACCTAACAAACCTTAATGTGTGTGTGTGTGTGTGTGTGTGTGTGTGTGTGTGTGTGTGTGTGTGACTATTTGTGTTGATTAACGCATCTCTAAGAGATAACGAAGTTTAACTAAAATATGACGAAAATGATATTGTGTTGATTGTCGTGTTTGTTTGTTGTTGGTGGTGTAGTGTTGAGTGTTGAACAAATAAACAGTACATTACAAATAAACTAGAATGAAAGGATAGAGACCCTGACTTACCTATATTCACTAGACTAACTCACCTACCTATGTTCAATTAGCTCAACTTACTTATTGATCCTACCTATTTGTACGATTACGAAGAAAAAAGTAAGGAAAAGAGGATAAAACATCAAGCAAACAAAACAACGAATGTATGTGTGTGAAATAATTTTTTAAATTTAATTGGTAATAAAGTTTTATAAGGCATTTGTGCTATTATAATGAATAACTATATAAAGCATGGGTGGGCCAACTTTTTGCTGTGAGGACCGCATTGAGAACTATTTGACGTTTGAAGGGCCACATGCCACATATGTATTTAAATAGCAAATTTTTTGGGCTGTTTTTTTGTCTCGTAATATGTGGCTGACGAACTTATTTTACGGTCGTAATGTGAACTTACTAGAGGAACGAATATTTTCCAAAGATTCATTCAATCGTCTTTAAATGTTACATATACAACAATTACAAAAATGATAATAACGCAAAGATTAATGACTGAATGGAAAAATAATACTAATAATAAAACATTAATTAATGTCTGTATTAGTGTTCTGTCACTCTAAGAAATTAACTCATTTAGTGATAAAATTGGAAAAAACTAACAAGATTATGAAAACAAAAACACAACACAAAAAGTTGAAAAATGTGAAAAGAAAAATTTCCGAAAGGACATCCCACTACAATGATGATTAAAAGTAAATGAGTAGATCGTCTTTATCTATTCAGTATGGTATCATCATCATTTTGTCACTTAGTCATCATACCATTAAATCATCATCACATCAGACAGTAGTATTTCATCCCTGTATCATCATTTAAACATCGTCACGTCGTAATTGTATCCTTCATATCATCGCCATTACCTTCTTCGTCATCATCTTCATCCTAAAATTATGATACTATCATTTTTTGTATTATTTACTAACATTATGTTATCACCGTATCATTATCAACATCTTCATCTTTGTATATATCATCATTATATATATATATATATATATATATATATATATATATATATATATATCATCGTCATCAAAGCTGTTATCATTAATATCATCATCGTAGCCCTTAATCATCGTCATATCTTTGTAACATCTTCTTCTTCATTCTCATCGCCCTCATCCTCATCACCATCTTTATCGTCATCGTCATTGCCAATCCCTGGCGAAGTTTTCCCCGTGGTCACCCTTTTCACCCTTTTCACCTTTGGGTCCCACCGCCGTTCCTGATGATGATAGTGATGATGATGATGATGATGATGAAAATTATGGTGTTGATGTCGATGTTGATGATGATGAAAACGATGATAAAAAATATGATGATGATGATGATGTTATCTTTATCATGCAAATAAATCGATAAAGTGATACAACTCCAATATGATAGTAGAACCGGTGATTATCATCATTACTGAAGATGAATTATGAAGCTTATGGCGTCATCATCATCACCGAAGACTTATGACGTCATCATCATTACTAAAGATGAATTATGAGGCTTATGACACCAGTTAGCGATTAAAATGATTAAAATGTGAATGATAAGAATCATGTAGACCCATATAGATCTGCGTGTATATTTCAATCCCTTGCCATTACGATATGTTACTATTGCGTTGTTATTATATATCCCGTCTATGTTTATGCTAATGTTTATGTTAATGTCATATTAATGTTATATTAATGTTATGTTAATGTTATGTTAATGTTATGTTAATGTTATGTTAATGTTATGTTTATGTTATGTTTATGCTACTAACATCTATGTTATGTATAATTTATGTACTGTGGTCCGTTTTATAACAAACGAAATATCATTTATGAAATGTGTTGTTACAAATTAAAATTGTAAAAAATATCTCTAGATACGTAGCTCCGGCTGTCTTAAGTTTCAATGAAATGGTATTCGTAATGTTAATAACGCAGAAATTTGTTATTGAAATACGTTACAAAATCGTTACAAAAGAAACTCATAAAGATCAACTAATTCAAAATTTTATAACCTGAAAATGAACGTATGGTAGAATGAATAGTAAAAAAATGTAGACAGGCAGATGTATTGGTACTATGCTGGGCACTGCTGAAACATGGAAGCGAACAAAAAATAATATTTGCAACAAATACACACATACATACAAACACACAATCACACACACACGCACAGAACAAACACACTCACACATATACAAACCACACACACACACACACACTTACATACATACACAAACATAAACACAAACATACGCATTAGCGCGCTGACCCATCTAACAAGATTCACTGATTAATTGATGCTCATTATCTAGCAAGGTACAGAAAGACAGAAAAAAGGCTAAACTATTAATCAGCTTTAAAACCATTTGGGTATATAAAACTATGAATATCTGTGCGTGTGTGTGTGTGTGTGTGGTGTGTGTGTGTTGTGTGTGCGTGTAATCATCATGAAGACATAAGTTGCATGCATGTACTGAATGAATTGAATGTATTGACAGAAGGTGGTTGTAAGAAGAATCCAAAAAATAAGAAACGACAATATCAGAAGAAAAAGAACTTTGTGAAGAGAGCAACATAATGAGAAGAACCCGGAAAAGAAGATTAACTCAGTTTGGACGTGTAAACTGGATGAACTTAGAGAAATTACCATATATGGCCTTATAATAATAATAATAATAATAATAATAATAATAACAATTTATATAGCGCTAATGCAAGCAACTGAAGCACTCTTTGCCAGAAAATAGATGCAATATGTAATAGATTGAAAAAATGTTCCTGCGATAAGCATAAAGAATAAAAACTATCATGTCGAGGGTAAGAAAAGAAGAGGTCGTCCAAAAAAGACTTGGACCGACAACATCAAAGAGACTTCAAAGTAAAAACCACAACAAACATCGCTGAAGCCAGGAAATGGTAAAAGATAGAAGATGGAAACTCTTTGTGACTAGCTTTTGCCGCCCTTGACTGGCGGGCAGCAAAGGCGGACAGCAGACAGGTTATGATGATGATGATGATTGAATGAATAGCGTTTCTTACACCTCCAAATTAATGATGATGATGATTGTGATTATGTTTTCTTTACAAGACTTTTATGTCTTTTCTGGTCTACATTTACATTTTTTTATTGTAATTTGCGATTTATGGATTTTGAATAAATAAAATCAATTAATGGCGATGATGGGATTCTGAAAATGTTAAAAGTGTTGACGATGGGATGATATTATTAATTCAAAAATAATAAATTTTGGCTTGTTAATTACTAATCGTTGTCACCATTCCAATGTTTATACACATTAGAAACAATATTAATAATAAGAACAATAATGAAAATAAAATATAATAAATATCAACGTACCGCCTGCTTGTCCAGGTGGGCCCGCGTCACCTGGATTTAAAAATAATTATTTAATATTAAAATAATTAATAAATTAACAAATATATTAATATTTAATTTAATTATCTTTTTTTGATATTCATCAGACAGAGGTTCTAACAGTAAATACAACACATAGTGTATGCAAATAAATACACGCGAATCAGCGCATCCCCTATGATGCATGTAACGGACGATGGCGGGATCATTTTGCATTTGAAATGGGTTACTGCAGCAGCACGCCAGGCACTTTAACCATTACACCACCGAGCCATATTTGATAATAATATTAATGTTGTTTAAAAAGATATTTTTTAATAGCGAACTAAGAGCCCTTGCTGTTTTGTTTTAGACTAAGAATACAATTCCTTTTAAATTTTACGTTACTTGCAGAAGAGATTCATGTTGGCAAAATCTTTTTACTTCATAAATAAATTTGAAAATATTATTTTAATCAATATTATCTATTTGAAAAAAATGTTTTAAATTAACTTTGAAAAATGAAAAAAATAACACGATTTTTAAATATTTTTAAAAATTCACCTTTGTCTCCTTTGTAGCCAATGAACCCTATGGCCCCCCTCTTACCCTGTTCCCCCTTCTCACCTTTCAGGCCTGAATCAAAATTATATTGTATAGATGTGTGCGTGTGTGTTTGTGATCGTGTGTATATGTGTTTGTACTTGTTTAGGTATGTGTGCGTGTGTATGTGTGCGTGCGTGCGTGCGCATGTGTGTTTTCATTGTAACGATAAAAGTTATTGTCACATATTTTACCATCTGTGCGTGACATCACTGATGACGTCATAATAATTAATTTCATTCATAATCTTTTTAAAAATTTTTCTCACAATCGTTTACGATAACATCCTCAACAATTAAATGACATCTCCGTTATATTTATTATTTTTTGGTCTTCAAAACAAAATTTACATTTAGCGTTATGAAAACAAGAAAGCAGAAAAATATTCAAATGCCAATAATTTTTCATCAAGTCAAGTCCACATCAACCTCCAGGGCATCTAACCAACTGACCAGCGGCGAATCAACCTCTAAACGACCAATCAACCTACTAATCAATCAATCAGCAAGTAATTCAGACATATAGAAAACACGTGATACATATTTATAACACTGGAATAATGCTGACGTTGAAAAAAGCATTTATAAGTTTTATAAAATTTGAAATGTGAAAATCGAGTCAGTTAAAGATTATCTCATGTTCCTTGAATATACAATTTAGTCACATGTGCTTGATGAATGCACGGTATATCAAGAAAGAAATAGAGCGCAACGCAAGTAAGGACGCACTTACAAACAATTTTACGCACTAACGTAAATGCAAACATTAAAGATACATTCACATCAGGAATGAAAGCAAATGCAGACATAAAAAAAAATAAAAAAGAAACATTCAAACAAAAATTCACAAAAACACATAGGCAAACTAACATTATAGATAAATGGAACAGCCAAAAATATAAATTGAATTCTTCAAACTTCATAGAGAGCAAACGAATCACAAGCTGGTGTGATGAATGATTTGTGGAACCCTTTGTTATCACAAAGTTGAAATTTTGCAACGAGAATTTTACGACATTTGACTACTTTGTTAAACTGGGTCTTTTTTGAAATATCTTTTCTATGTTAATATTTCTTTGCAGAACTTATATTATATAAAAGAATGAATGTAGGTTGATTAACACAAATCTGCCTCTTTTAATTTTAAAGAATTAAAATTGAAATCAAGGAAAAATATAAGGTTCAACATGAGTCTCCTGTGTAGTTCAGAACTTTTGAAGCATGCCAGTGAAAAAGTTCATGAATATCTAAAAGAATATGACTGTGATGAGATGGTCGATCAGTACCGAATATATCTATTATATTTGGAACATTACAAACAACGTTATCTCCTTGAAAAAAATGAGATTAGAAGGATTGCGAATTACGTCTCCATGCTAAGCAACCAGGAGAGATGGCTCCAGAACCCTCGTTGGGAGAGCATTCCAAATTCTTCAAACATCACACAATACCAGATATTAAAAGAAATGCAACTGTTTTATTATGAATATGTGTTAAAAAGGAAAGTCGCCGAGAACCACGAGTTCGTAAATATAAACCAGGGTGGACGTAGTTACAAAGAAATTTATCTCAATTCGGAAAAATTCAAATTGATAGAAATAAACAAGGAAGATATCCACTACGCCGAAATAATTCATACTGATTCCTTTTATGAGAGCCTGGCAGCCAGCAAGAACATCAAAGTACCATATTTTCACGGAATTTTCCTGCATAATGAATGCGCAATATGTGGCGAAGAATTTGAAGAGGGATCCATGGTTCTGGAACTTTCTTGCAAACACGTCTTCCATTTCAAATGTTCCCACTTTTGGTTCAAGGAAAAGACCTCCTGTGCCATCTGTAGAAAGCAAGTCGCATTCGCTCAAAAAATATATATCAAATGGAGGTCGGTTGTTGATGATGAAGATCATTCTGGTAGGAAGAATCTCATCTGCACGATATCTTCAAAGGCAAAATTTTACTGAAGCATCTAACAGGATGTCGGCATTGAATTATTTAACATTCTGCGATCTCTTAATTTTTATTTAAATTTTTTAATTGAATAAAATAAATTTCTAACATTACAAAAATGTTATTCATGCGTTTCTCGAGTTGCATCATTTTAACATTTGATGAAATGTCCCTCTTCCTTAAGTGAAGTTTGAAATAATTTTAAAAATAAGTGGCAAAAATTAAATGGATGTACCGACAAACATGCAAACACGCCTATGCAAACTAACGTAACTAAAAAGCGAAGTAGCAAAAATTTTTTTGACATGACGAGTTTTGACGAAGGGGAAAAGACCATAAATAACAGATGAAGCAGCTGCAGAATTCTGATTAATAAAAATTTAGTTTTGTAGTTGCATTAAAAAAGGTATTTGAAGGCGCCCTTGTAAAATGTGATATCACGAAATATGGTGATATAAATCAATATGCGTTTAAAGTGACTTGTGGAAGCCATGACAGTTTGTTATTATTGAATAAATATGCATTATAAAAATGCCTAACAAATTGTTGGCATATATTAACAAAATTTTCAAAATATGAAGATTAAAATAAGAAAATTTATAACTCGAGTAGTCGTTGTAAATACGTTCAAATAAACAACAAACACTGTTTCCAACTCTCTTTTCATAATTTCAATGGTAGGACCAGAATTAATCGATGTATCTATTAATGATTTTGTCAACTGCTCCAATGTTAAAAAGTTTATTTATTTTCATTCTTCGACCTTAACTTAAATAAAAAAATTGGTTACATTATATTATCACAAAGTTGAACTTTGCGACATGTCAATGCTTTGTTAATCCGCGTCTTTGCTAACTTTTGAGTGAGTAAATAAAGATCTTTGTTACGTTAATAATTCTTTGCTGAACTTGCATATAAGAGAATGAATGTACTTTAATACAAATCTGTCAATTTTGATGTTTTTAACAAATTCTAGTAAATTCAAATAAACTAAAAAATACTTTTTGATTCAACATTCAACTGAATAGTCAAAAGAAATGGCTTCAAAATCCTCGTTTGAAGAGCATTCAAATTCTCCAAACTCCACACAATACCAGATATTGAAAGAAATGCCGTTGTTTTATTTCGATTCCTATCTCAAAAAGAAAAGTTGCCAAAAAACTGGTTTACATCTACGAGCTCTTAACCTATAATGGATAGCGTTTTAATTTAAATCGTGTTCAATTAAATAGATCACTATCATCAACATTATCATCATCATCAACATTATTATCATCATTAACATTATCATCATCATCACTATTATGACGCCATAAAATCCTGCCATCAAGTCAACCACGCACAAATCACCATGACAACCAAACAAACCGGAAACACGTGATTTTATTTATAGCGCCCGGAAAAAGATGTTATAAAGAGAAGCAGAGTTTATTTTTTTAATTTAAAAAAGTCATTAGAATTGTATAAAAATTACCTTAAGCAATATACAGTCCAATAGAATGGCTTACAGATGAACTGAACAACACACTCAGCACACATGCAAAACAACTACCACACACTTTAACATAAAAACATTTTCACAGACACGAACGAACGCACGCACGCGCAAACCCACACAACAGACATGACATTATAAACTGGCATTGTAAAAAAAGATACTGCAAGAATATGACATGACATGGAATGGAATATTCGAATAGAAGGAAAACGAGTCATAAGGTCATCACGAATAATAGATAAAACAATCAAACAAAAAGTACATTTCGGATAAATACGCGCTACATAAAGAAACTATTCGAATTCACCCTTTTTTAAAAGTGATATCATAACGTAAGACGTTAGAAAAGTCAGTGATGCATTGGGACCGCCATCAATCAAGAAAATGTGTATCACGTGATGTATGGAGGCCATGACAGGTAGTCAAGGTGACGATGTTTATGACGATGATTGTGGTAATGATTATGATGATGGAAATAGCGATAATAAGGATAATATTAGTGATGATAATTTTTTTATTATTTATTATACAGCTTTCTTAAAGGCAGACTCCCATACAATGATGGTCTTTGAGTTTCAGGACAGACAGTATTCGAACCATGCCAGCGCGAGATATGGCACTTTTACCGACTGAACTTACTCGGTGGCCGAATTATGTCAGTGATAATGATTGACAGTAACAAATAAAAACGATGATGATGACGATCGCGTCTATGGTAATGATACTTATCCTGACGGCGATGGTGGCACACAAAGTAGCAGTCATGGTGGCGGCGATGAAGACGACAGCGGTTATGACGTTGACGAACTAGTGAGGATGACGACGATGACGATGATGAACTAGTGATAAACGCAGAAACCTTACTTATCTAGTTTGCCATGTTTTTGTAAATCCTCATTGTACAAAATATTTTCATTCAAGTAGAACTAATCTTCATCATTGTCATTATCTTATCATCATCAAAGTCGTCGAATTTAATTTTAATTATTATCATCAAACATCACTGTCGTGATGGTGATGATGAAGAAGAAGATGTTGACGATGACAAGGTAAATAAAAATGATGATAATGATGATAGAGATGACGACGGAATCATTCAGATGATAACGAAGTAGATCACTACAAGGAGATAAAGATGATGGTGATAACGATGATGAAGAAGGTGATGATGAAAAAGACGATGAGGATGATGATGAACATAAATCACTAATGTAAAAAACTACCAACATGTGCAGTTCCCACTGAATGCAGACGTCGACGAAGCAGTACTCGCAAGTTCTCCCATGTCGCCTTTTTGTCCAGGTGGTCCAGGTTTGCCACGTTTGCCTTTGCCCGGTTCACCCTTTTCCCCCTTTTCACCCCTTTCTCCTAATTATTTTACAAGATGATTATGGTGGTGGTGAAGATGATGATGAAAGTTATTATGATGAAGATGAGGCTGAAAGTTATGCTGATGATGAAGATGACGAAAGTTAATGATGATGAAGATGATGATGGAAATTATGGTGGTGGTGAAGATGATGATGAAAGTTATGGTGGTGATGAAGATGATGATGAAAGTTATGGTGGTGATGAAGATGATGATGAAAGTTATGGTGTTGAATAGAAATGAATGGAATATAATAAATTTATACCGCAGGCATGGCCCCTTGCCACCATAATGTAACCAAATGATTTTTAGGAATAAATAATTCGATAATTAAGATGTTTGGTTGAAAATGTTGACGATAAAGTTGGTGGTGAAAATGATGAGGGAGAAGTTGACGGAGAAGATGATGATGGTGGGAATGACTAGCCTGGATTTCCTGGTGGTCCCTGCGGGCCAGGTGGACCAATGGGGCCTAAAAGGATGATGCGGAGGAAGAAGAAGAAATGAGGACGATGGAATGATGATGATGATGGTGATGATAAAATGATGAAGATGATGATGGTATAATAAAATAATGATAGTAGCAAAATGAAATAAATATGATGATAATGATGATGATGATAATGATGATGGTGATTATGATGATGGGGATTACAACTGCAAAATAAGGATGAAGAAGATGAAGAAAAACATATGTGAAATTGATATTAACGATAAGATTACTGCTAATTGATGCATTCGATATTTCTCTCTTTTTGTATAGAATAAAAAATAAATATCTATCTATATTTAAACAAATTTTATTTTCTAACTTTGCAGTTTAACTTTGCAAATTGTAAGTTAATTAATTACATATAATAATTAGATTTTTAAATGAAATTTCTGAGTAAAATAATTCGAAATTCCGGCATTATTTAGAAAAAAACCAACACACAGCAAACAAATTGTAATGCATTGCAATTAGATTGGTCTTTTTGTCATCCAGCCATCAATCGTTGACGAAAATGAACCTGGCACGCACGATCGTCACTCATATACGCAGACGTGTTGAAATCAACATGCTGCGAAAGACGAAAACAGTCATTTGAGGTTTTCTGTTGGATTTTATTTCTACTGTCAACGATTTTTTAAAAATTTATATTTTTTTATTTTTCAAGAAATTAGAGTTTCTTATTTCACTGATGAGTTGTTTTTATTAAAAGTTTCAATTGTTCAAATTGGAAAAAAAATAATTTTTTTATACGAGCTTTCAAAATTTTTTGTTGTATCAATTTATCAAGAAAAAACTTTTTTATTTCAAAATTTTCATGAAAGATTTTGTCACATCCAAACTTTTCAGATGCTGATTATCATATAAATCAAACTGTCAATCAATCAATCTAGTCATCATTCATTCAGTCAATCTTCAATCCAACGATCAATCAATGAATTTAGCAATTTCATTAACCAGCCAATCAGCCAGTCACTAATCAATCAACTTATTATTGATAATATAGTAACTTTCTTTCTAAAATAAAAGTTTAGTAATCAATCAAATTTTCAACTAGCCAGTTATAAGCTTCAATTATTTTTTATTATTGTTTTATTATTTTATTATTATTATTTTATTTGATCAACAAAACTACCAATCAATCAGGTAATCATCCAACCAACCAAACTATTAACATATCAATTAATCAATCAACTAATCAATTGAGTAGTCGGTCAGTCAGTCAATCAACCAACTAAACAACAAGCCAACCAACCAACCTATCAACCAACCTATCAACCAACCTATCAACCAACCTACCAACCAATTAAACATTTGTTGTTAAGATTAAGAGCTGTGTTGATTGTAGTACGCGCGCATATAAAATAAAAAAAAGTTAACTCCATCAGTTCATGTTTCATTCTTCGTTTTTCATTTTTTATACGTTCAAATTACATCCATTCATTTTCAATTTTTTAATGATTGAATAAATAAAAGGTGAATAAATAATTAAATAAATGACAAATGAATGATGAATGATTGAATGAATGAATGATGAGTGAATGAATGAACGAATGAATAAGTGACCAAATAAACAACAACGACCCATCAAACAAACAATGGCTTATAAAATAAACATAACAAAATGTACAACTAACAAAGTAACCAAAAATCATAA